TACGGATAAGATAATAAGTGAACGACTCATTTCGAGCGTACTTTTGATAAGGACCGGTGGATGTCCTACATCCCACACACCTGCCCACATCCTGAGTGATTTTTGGCACCTGGTCATCCACTCTGGACTCCTCAATTGGCCTTGGGCCTAGGCTAATTTCCTTCGACCATAGCAGGCCCAAAAGTGAAAGCACCTCAAGAGTACTTCAAAACATTTTTTTTCTTATTTAGCATTTTCAGAAACATATTTGAAATGAATCAATTACGTGTCATGAAAGCTCTTATCCTCAGTATTGGACAGTAACTAGAGCGCCCCTTCCCCGAACCCCTCGAATTTCAGCCTCCACAATTCCTTTTTGTTTCGTATAAAACAAAATATTGTGAGAAAAGTGATGTCACTGATAATGACAATAAGCTAAACTGATAGCGCTAACTTTGCTAGACGTTGTTCTCGGGCTACTTATCTACGGAAATTAGACTACCTCTTTGTTCTGACCCCCATAGTAATATATTTTCAAATTTAGAAACCATTGTGTAATGTAGAACATAAAATCTTTTCCATAGAAATTGCAATTTTATTATCTATAAGATTTCATAGTAATTCTGACAAGGCAGTGATAACGAGATAGTCCGAAGAGCTTGGGAATTTCTTCACTCTAGAAACAGCTCACTAACGACTACGTCATTTGTTTTATGCATATTGATTACTTCTTAACGTAAGTTAACATTCTTATCATTTTCAAAACATTTTTTTCACTAATCATTTATGTGCAGACATTAAAACAAACAAAAAATCAACGAGTACCAAACAAAACGAAAGCACAAAAAAATTAATTTTGAGAAACATATAGCTTTCAGAAGATCATTAGAAAAAAAATCCGAAGAAAACAAAAAGGAAAGGAGCAGAGGAGAACAAAAAATTATATAATAGCAAAAATTAAATAATAGCAAAATATTTAATGGCTATGATAACCTCGACGACCAGTGTCATGATCATAACGGTGACAACAGAAATGATCGTACCACAGACAGCGTCTGAAACGCTCGTCCATCATCGGGCAATGAAATGACCAACGGGAGGGACCAAATCCGTGATGTCTCGGACGACGACGTTGGCGTTCGTTCGTCGAAGCGATCATGGGCACCTCTTGAACGGGAACGTCGAACGTCTCGACTTGCGAATCACGGCATTGCGGCTTGGCGGTTTTACTGAGCAGCGACAAATGCATGGGGAATTGCTTCGGGAAACGCCCTCGACGGCGTTGTCGTCCGATGAGGAGTATCATTGGCTCAGAGAACGGCCATGTGCCCCACCATGGCTTCGGGAGCGGCTTCTTGAGCGAGATCGTCGAGCGTGAGATCGACCACAACTTCTAGATCTTGAGCGGCCACGAGAGCGTCGTCTGAACGGTGACCTCCTCCGGTAAGGAGCATCGAATCCATAGCAACTGAGGCAGGTTATATCGTCGTCATCATTATCACCGTCGCTGCGAACATGCAGACGTAGTACGGGCGTGTCTCGTGCAGCATTCAGCAGAACGTCAGGGTCATTAATAGACACAGGTTCATAGTCTCTGTCGATCCAGAAAACAGATTCGAGGGGAATGTCTAAGCACTGCATTCGCCTTCTGAGAGCTCTGAATAAATCATGCTTATTCCGATAAGTGATAGGTAATCGTAGCGGCCGCCTGGCTAGTTTCACAATAATGGTCCTCGGTTCGGAAGATGATTCTTCAGGCATGGTCGTGAAACTGGTGACGAGGGAAATAGTACGGGTACTGAATAACGCTTAGGTAGCGCTCATGGGACGAAGTGGACGTGCAATGGACGGAAAGAGCCGCCGATCGATGCCGATGAATCATGCCAGCTGGTTTTTTAGCTGGTACGTGACTACTCTCGATTTACGAGGACATTTCGAACGACGGGCATTAAATTTAATCAAGCCTACCATCAAAGAAAAAATAAAACCATTTTTGAGATCTTTGGTTAGATAGACCGGAGTAACTCAGGAGAGGATCCCATGTCGCCATGGCCATTCAATGAGAGAGGCATACACCTACTAAATGTGCCATCGAACGCTGATCTCAAATCTACCTTCCATGTCTGCTAAACGTTCGGAGTTATGAAGCAAAACAGCGCAACGGTAGTGGTCGGGACTCATACTCAAGGCGTAGTAGGATCG